GGGAGGGAGGGAGGGAGGGAGGGAGAGAGGGAGAGAGGGAGAGAGGGAGAGAGGGAGAGAGGGAGAGAGAGAGAGAGAGAGAGAGAGAGAGAGAGAGAGAGAGAGAGAGATTGACATCACTGACAGTGGGATTTAGCCAGGCACAGAGAAGGGGAAACCTCACAAGAACTCTTCAGTGATAAGTAGGCATAGGAAGCTGAACGGCCCTCCTTTTTTATTTTCTCCCACAGAGCCTGTTTCTTTGTCTCTGAGAGCTCTGGTTTTCCCTAGGCTAGAATGTGAGATGTCCAACTCTAAGCGTGAAAGAATCACTCTTAAGGCTTCTGCTCTTAACACTAGTTACAGACATTCTGCACGCATGTTTATTCATGCAAACATCCTCTCTCTCGCCTCTACCTCTGACCCCAGGAACTCAATGTTTGGGACCTGTGCTTTTCCAACCATGTTTGGATGTACCTATGAACACTTCTGTATTCTTCCCCCAACATAGTCGTTGCTACTCTGTAGCATTTTCATGAAACAGTGTCAGGGGCCTGGTTCCAAGTCCGTGTGGGTAGGATTGTATTTCCTCGTGGCCCTCTACTGTAGACATGCTCTCACTCAACCGTGAACAGTTTCTCACTGGGTATCCCAGACTACAGAGGACTCCTGCCCGCCCTTCCTCAGACTCCTTCCTCAGACTCAGAAGACGAACGTCATTCTTTTAAACTGTGTTGTAGTAATAATAATGCTAATATAATTCATGCTGGGCATTCTTTAGTATTTTCAAGTTTATATTAGCCCATCTAAGTATCACAAGTCTTATCATGTTTACTTTGTAGATGAGAACACAACTGTGAAATAACTAAGCAACTTGCCCATGTTAATACAACCTGTATCTGAGCCCAGAGGGTCCAACTCCAGGGCTCATGACACCAAACTCCCTCTCTACAGTTTCAAATTATGATACATCTATCTAACCCAGGGTGTGTCATTAATAATGTAATGTCACTAACATCTCTCTCTCTCTTCACAACTACTTTCATGAGATACTATACCATGTCCTCAAACCTCAAACTATCATTATTCTTTTTAATTTTTGTACTTATAAAGTTTATATAGAGGCATGATAAAATTATTATAAAGAAAATTTGTAAGCTTTTCAAAGATGCATCCTAAATGATAAAAAAAAAATGGTAGAAACAGAGAAGAAGCGGTGTGTGCAGGGTGGGGGGCGTGAGCAGAAGTCATTTCCTGTCTGTTGAGGAGGAGCTGGGAGGCAGAAATCCTCTTCTCTTTGTTCTAGAAGGTTCCCGAGAGGGATAGAATAGGTAAGGAAGGTTATTTAACTAATGGAAATAGAAGAATGCTCCGGAACATAGTCTTTTATTTATATCTCTAACAGAAGTTTAAACTGAGGGCTTGTGGTACAGCCTGTCATCCCAGCTCCTTGGGAGATTGAGGCAGGAGGATCTCAGCAACCCAGGAGGCTAAGGTAGGAGAATAACAAGGTATATAGTTCTACCTGAAGTAGAGTGAGTTCAAGGCCATGCTAGGCAATTTAAGAAAACCAGGTCTCACAATAAAAGGTAGAAAGGCTAGAGATATGTGGACATACATGCATAAACATATTCATATACACATAGACGTAGACACATACATATGCAAACACACATACATTCCAGTGGAACAGAAAAGCGTCTGGCCCCAAGCTTGCCAGGAAAGAAGTCTTGCATCACCTGATGACAAGGGTGTTGAAGAAAGGATTTTTAAGCTGTGATGTTAACAATCCACCGTTTTGGGTGGTGGGAAATGGTCTACTTTTGTCATTTGTTGGTAACCCCCTTGTAAGGAGAGATAATCTCTGTGTGGCTGAGTTAGAAAATCCACAATAAGCAATCCTTGTCAGTCTTGAGGGTGCCAAGACTGAAGACCCTCCTCCATTCTGGAACTTACTATGAGATTCTCTGGCTCCTTGAAGAGTTTCTTACTGTGGGGGGCAATGTCACCACTGGATCATTGGTTCTCACCTGCGGGCCAATATCAGATATCCTGAATATCAGATATTTACATTATGAGTCAAATCAAAATTACAGTCATGAAGTAGCAATGAAATAGTTTTATGGTGTGTGTGTGTGGGGGGGGTGACCACAACGTGAGGAACTGTGTTAAAGGGTCACAGCATTAGGAAAGTTGAGAACTACCGCTCTAGATTAAGGGATATTTGCCAGGTTATGAAGCGCTTTAAGGCTAATGCAGTATTTTAAAAACATGCATTAGCAAGTTTCATTTTGAAACTTGGCTTCGAAATCACCAACTGAGACTGTGAGGTCAACCCAGAGAGGGCCTAAGAGAAGGAAGCCACCATCTGACTCAGAGACTATGGGACAGCTTCTTCCCTCTGCTTCCACAAGTTCAAATGTCACATAGGCTGTCCCTGTGGCTGCAGCTATTTCTTCTGCTTCAGTGCTGACATTCAGAAGGTTTCCACATCTGAAGTGCTACTTGCCAAGTTCATTCCAAGGTGGTGCTCCTGAGAGGGGGACATATCTGTAGACAGATACATCACCTTCTTTCCAAGACTCCTAGTGCTTTCTGGAACTGGATTTAGCCATTCTGACAGCTGTGTTTATCTGTGATAAAACTCTGCTTGGGGAGACAATGGCATGTATAATATTCCTCTACCACACCGGGTTTTCTGGGTTCAGTAATAGTAACTCCCTGTGGTAACTTAACCTGCAGGCCAGGATGGTTTTCTTCAAACATATATTGCTTAAGACAGCTTTCTTAGTGTATGATAGAAATTTTTTTTAAAGTGTCTTGAGTTTTCTAATTTGCCTAGTTTAGTGGGCTTTTCTCACTCTTGAGTCATGCCCTCTTCTGGGAAATAAACATCATTCATCTGCTTCCGTTAGTTTCCCACTGATGACATCATTGCCTTCCCCCTGTATGGCAGGCACTGGTCTCATGCTGGGTCCATCCTGTAATGAGACAGAGCCATCATCTGCATTATAGCATTGCCCACCCCTGCCCTTTGCGACCATCTTTGAAGTGACAACAAGGACTATCACGTTTTCAGATGTCAGAAGTGGGCTTTTGTTTGCTGTGGTTTCAATCTTTAATATCTCTGGACAATTTCTAATCTCAGTATCTAGGTAACATGAAGGAAGCAAACTATTTTTTCCCCCAAATAGTTTTGTGATTAGCTCTGTTCTCAAATGTCCCAAGACCTTTGCACATACCTACTGTAAAGAAAAAGGGTCCTGGCTCATTCTGTTGACACATAACATTTCGGGTCAGCTCTGCATAGCTGGGCTGATGGCTAGGGAG